CACACACACACACACACACACACACACACACACACACACACACACACCCCCACCCACCCCACCATGCTCGTGTACAGAGTTGGGATGACCTGCTTTGGCATGTGGATGACTGTGCTTTTAGAATGAGAGAATTTTATTCTGTTTCTTTGACTTCCTGAGCGTTCCTTGTCCACTTGCAAGTTGTTGTAGCACACTGGTGAATAATATGTGTCATTAACATTGTAATACTGTGATGCCAATTGAAGTGTTTCATTTTCTTTCTTTTTCCCTCAGTCCTCTCTGTTTTGATTGTGTGCATGTGTGTGGACTCTGACCAGATAGACTGGCTTTTTGCAGCTCATCCAGATCAAGGTGGATGGCTCAGTCTCCTGCTGGTATTCTGTATTCAGGTAAATGGAAAATAGTTTCTTGGACTAGAGGAAGGTTCCCCACCTCATAACCTCTGATGAAGTTTTCACCTTTGCTATTGTTTCAAAGTTGCCTGTTGTATCATGTAACCTGTGGGAACCAAGAGAGTGAAGTGTTGTGAGGATTGTACTGAAGGCTGCATGAGCTCTGTGGTCCTGGACTTAGTAACTACTCTACCCAAGCTGAGTGGGTGCCAGCCTCTGGGGGGAGAGTCTTTAAGTGTATGCAAGCCTTTGTTTTGTGTATACGTTTACCTTGTAGAAAGCATTTTACATTATCCAGGTTCAGTAGTGGGGATGTCCTGCTGCTGTACACATGGTAATAGCCTTTGGATATTATCATTGGATTTCCTTAGGGCAGTCTTTAAGTTATGTGACAAATGTTTGCTAAGAATATATTATGTATAAGGTACGATCCTAGGTGCTGTGGGGATAATAAAAATAAATAACACATGGTTCCAGGGATAGGGAACCTGCAGTGTTGAGGCCACATATCGACTTCTAGGACCTTGGGACATTCTAGGTCCTTTTGACTGAGTCTTAGTTTTACAGGACAAATTCTTTTATTAAGGGGGTTTGTTTTGTGAAGGTTGAATTTAGTCAAAGGGTCTTGATTGAGAACCTAGAGGCTGTAGGTTCCCATTCCTTATCACCTTAACCTGTTGAGCTAATCTGGCATAACCTCCCATACTCTGAGAATAGACTATTTTTAAAAGGAATTTGTGATTTTTGTTTTGCTGGAATGAGTCTCCTTCCCACCCACTTTGATAAGATCAAGTTCTTCATCTACTGGTAATGATAGCTCAGACTGCATATAATTGAGGCCTACTGAAATAGCCTTTGCTTTCTGACCCTTCGGTAGCATGAGAGGGCTGTCTATAAAGTGCTCTTATCTCTTTTTCCAGTACCTCACCTAAATAGAGTAAAGGGTAGGCTAGCAAGTTCCCTCTTCATTATCACAAAAGTTTATTTCTCAGATCATCCTCAGGGCCAATGCTACTCAAAAAAATTTTTTTGTTTTGCATATGATACAGTATTCTTTGACATGAGTGGCACCTATTTTACATTGGGAGACTAGAACATGCTTATGTGATTGCAGGTATAAGTTCTGTCCCATTATGGATGCCTAGCAAATGCTAGTTTGATACAATTCATGTCATACCAGTGTAGTGGACTCATACCCTTAGAGAAGTAATATATTCAAGACAAAGTACTTGTATCTGGGTGGGACCATCCCAGATGTCAGTAGAACATTTTCCATGTGGGAGGCAGCTAGGTGGGGCAGTGGATAGAGCACCAGCCCTCAAGTCAGGAGGACCTGAGTTCAAATCCGGCCTCTGACCAAACACTTGACACTTACTGTGACCCTGGGCAAGTCACTTAACCCCAACTGCCTTTAAAAACAAACAAACAAACAAAAAAATTTGCCAGATGGTCTATGGAGTAATCCATATACTTTTTGTGCTTTTATGGAGGGGAAGGAGGAAAAAACTGCTGACTTGCTGACCTGGCATAAATGGGAATTTTCAGGGCATATTTTGTCCCATTCTTTATGATAGAAAATTTGAAGAACACTATATCCTTTCCCTTGGAAACTTGGTGCTTTAAATTGAATATACCTGTCTGTGTAGGAAATAGCCCCTTCTAGTTTGTTGCCTAGATCTGTAAATATAAAATATAAAAAGATAAAAGCTGAGGAGAATCTTAGAATTTTAGATTTGGAAGGAACTTAAAATATCATCTAGTTCAGCTCCCTTATTTTATATATGAAGAACCTGAGGCCCAGAGAGGCTAAGAGCCCAAGAAAACATAGCTTGTTGGGGTCAGAACTGGTACTAAGGCAGATCTTATAACTAGAATGCTACACCTGCAGATATAGGCTTTGCATGCAGATAAAGCAAAAAAGCACCAGTCCATTACACTGTTTCCTCTGTTTTCTCAGGCAATATGTAAAAAATGAGTGTTTTTGATTGAAGCGTGTTGACTAGGCTGCAAACCTGATATCATCAGAACCCCTTATTCTTGATTACTGTTCAGCACATGGTGATGTGCATATGATGCTTAAGAACTATTCTCTCTCTATCTCTCTTTCTCCTCTTCTCCTTTTCTCACTCTCCCTCATGGAAGGGAACTAATAACGTGTTTAAAAGATCGGATTAAATAGTCAAACTTTAGAATTTTCATCCCTTCAGAGTTTGACACCATGTGTGTGTTTTTTCTCATTCCTCCAGTAGGGCTGGCAGAATTTTGCTCTAGATCCTTCTCTAGTAGTGGTAGATTTGGCATTAACAGAATATTCACAAGGGAGGAAATCTGCATCTAGGTCATTGTAACCTTGTATTTGGGTTGTAGGTTTCCTTCTGGTAAAGGAAATAAGGGCTTAATAAACCTGGAAGTACTGTATACATGTGAGTTGTTTAATGTTTATTGTTGCTGTCCATATCAGTAAAGTAAAAGATTCTGTAAATATATTGGTAGGGTCTTTGGCTCCTTCAGAGTCTTTGTCGTAATGTTGATCAAGAGGAAATACATTTTAAAATTTGGTGTTTTCTTTCTTTTTCTCTGTATAGTGAATTTGATTGTGATTTGAAAGTGCTGATAGAAAAGAAAATTTTAAAACTGACTAATATATCTCCTAGTTTTGTTCACCTCTCTCAACCAAAGAGCAATAAAGCACACAATTCTGACATCACTTGTCTTTGGAATACATTTAATGATTTTTCTTGGCAACAGATTTTCCTTACTTTGACCTGTTACTGCTATTAAAATATGGAGGAAATATTTTATATATTTTTATATTATATTTTATATAATTTTAATATTAAAATAGTAAAATATTATTAAAACATTCAAATGAATTTCATTTGTTTTGAATACATTAGCTGATGTCAGTGAAAGAAGGTTGATAGATTTTCTAGTGGGGGAAGGGAGAAGACTGAGATTAGAAATTTATGAGAAATGGGCTATAGTGAAAAGAATGCTGGGCTAAGAATCGGGAGATTTGGCTCTGCCCCAGCAAGCTATGTTTGATTTTTGCCACGTCACTTAACTTTTTGGATCTCAGTTTCCCCCTCTGTAAGTTGAAAAGATTGTACAAGACTATTAGGATCTGCCACCTTTTAAGAAAGAAAACCAGTATTTTGGTAGTAGTCTTAGAATGTAATGTTTTAGAGCTAAGTAACATATATACACACATTCATTTTAATTGATGTGAGAGGCATCACAGTAGGGGCTCTCCTTGTATTTTGGCAGTTGGAGGTAAGTTGAGGTGAGAAATACAGAAGATCTAGCTTGGGTTGGAAATCCAGAGTTAGTAGTCATTATTCCCTGAAGATTAATACATGGGTACAAATTAATTGATTTATTTGGACTAAAAGAAACCAGAGTATAAATGTACTTACAGAGCCTTTTGCAGCAGAGGATGTCCCAGGATCTCCCAGGATCTGCCAGGATGTCCCCAGCTCCTTGGGGCAGCTAGGGACCACCACAGTACACAGAATGCTGTCCTGGATTCAGGAAGACCTGAATGCAAATCCAGCTTCAGATATTTGCTAGCTGTGTGACTCTGGGCAAGTTACTTGACCTCTTTCTGCCTCAGTTTCTTCATCTGTAAAATAGAGATAATAACAGTAACTACCTTCCACGGTTGTGAGGATCAAATGAGATAATAATTCAAAGTGCTTAGCACAGTGCCTGGCACGTAGTAAGTGCTACATAAATGTATTTTTTCCCTTTTCTTCTTCTTTCCCAATTGCTGAGACCTAGATTACATGATCTTTAAGGCACCTTGCTGTGCTAAAATTCTCTGGTTCCTGAACAGACTGACTTGTTGCTAGGGCCTGGAACAAAGTACATATTTAATAAATGCTTGCTAATTAGTTGATTCCTCTTCTGTCCCAGGATTCTGCCACATAAATAACAAGACCTTTCATTTTTATTGTTCTTTATAGTTTCAAAAGTTCTTTTGCATTCACTGTTAATCAGCCAATAAACATTTATTAAACTTCTCCTCTTTGCTAGGTTCTGTGCTAAGGATTGGAAATAGAGGTGTAAAAAGTCTCACAAACCCTACTTGGAAAGAGCTTACATTCTAAAGGGGATAGCAGCAAGTACAATATATACAATAGAGTTAGAAAATGAATTAATGCAAACATGTACAGAGTGGCTAAATACTAGGCTATCTCATAACAGTCCTAGGAGGAGATAGTACAAATATTTTCCCCCCTTTTATAGGTGAGGAAATGATAGCTTAAAGTAGGTGGCTTGCTTATAATGACAGTTTTGTGATTGTCATAGCCGTCATTCAACCAAGGTCTTCTGCTTCTGGTGCCTCTTATTATTGTTGTTAGACTGGATAGTAGGATTTTTTTTTTTGGTGAGGTGATCAATGACTTGCCCAGGGTCACACAGCTATGTTGGTAGACTAGAAAGAATATCTAATGAACCTGTGCAAATAAGATCATATCTAAAATCCAAAATGCTATTGGATAGGAAGTTTCTGCCTCTTTACCCCAACTTAAGAAGAGGGAGAAGGTGAGGCCAGATAAGAATAAATAGTTCTTTAAAAACAGAAATTTTTGGTCCATGAAGCACCCAGGGTTAGGCTGACTTGGTTATGTTATATAACTGTATCCTGTTAGCCTTGATTATTCATGCTGGTTGGGCAAATTGAGGACAAGTAAAGCCCACAAATAACCTATAAATTTTGTTTCTGATATAATAGATCCCAGAGTTATCCATATTATGGAAGACAACAACATAATTACTACATATTTATCTCCTCCATTCAAAGCACTGTGTGAGGACTTTGGGACTTAGAAGGTGTGGTTCCTTCTTCCTACTCTCAAGTAGCTGATAATTTAGTTGGAAAGATTCCAAGTTATAATTGATAAATGTCTAACAGTTCAGAAGATGGAGGCTCTTAAATTCAGGGCTGGAAGAGATCTTAGAGATCATATACTCCAATTTTCTTATTTTATAGA